ATTGTGATTTTGTCGAAAACAGAATGCAAATCAGGCAATGTCACCAAACGATACATTCATATGCAGATAGCAGAGCAGAAGTAAGGATTCCTTCATATTGCTCAAAATGGCTTGTCAGTAGTGCTCTCGTCGCCATAGCTTCGCAGTTCGCTAATGGATATAAGGGCATTCAAATGTGAATTAGTCTTGTAGAATGACATGCTGCGACAATGATGAACAAAGAACATCTTTTGGGTTAGAATCCAGGAACTTCTCTTTTGAGTGATTGTTGCAGCGATCTATTGACAGCATTCTCTGCTCTAATATCGGTCGGTGATCTGTTCCAAATAACCATCATAATGAGGAAATGACAAAATAGGAAAAAACCGTCAGCGCAATAACAGCAAAGATTACTTTCAGATCGACTGCGAAGTCTAATCTCAGTTCTCTGAGAAATCCTGATGTCGTTTTGATGGTAATTGACTCAGTGGCGTCGACGCAGTTGATAAGGTTTTTGAGTTTTATAACTTCTTATTTGCCCCACATTTGTCCTTTATTTCGGAAAAGGAAGCTGTTTTTACTCTTGATTCGAAGACTCCCTTTCTGAGTTTCTGGAGGGAGAGGCGTTGGAACCTCAACCTGGATTATTTGGATTATTGGTTCCTCTTGATATCGAAATATATACAAATTGGGTACTGCACTCGAAGGAGGTTCACATTTTCTGCTGCTTTTCTCAGGGGACTGCCGAGAACGGTCAACTTCCTCCTACATGGAATGGAAGCAGTCGAGTTCCGGAAATTCAACAAGGTCGGATCAAACAGTCGTCCAAACGCGTTTCCTACATTGGTAGGTGAGTTCAAAAATTTTGAAGCTTTGTGTCCTTGCAGAGCTAGCAGGACTTCAATTAGCTCTACTATCGCTTACCGTAGATAAAGAAGTACTACTCGCTGAAGATCGTGTGGTTCCTCTTTGAAAGGGCTATGCGCAGTCGTTTTATGTTAAAGACGTTTTTCCGCCCGAACTTTTCGCTACCGTGGCTGCTATTTTACTGTAAGAAGAATGTACGCAGCGGCGCAAATTCTGGTTGGATGGTGTGAGGGGTAGGTATGTACTTATAGAGGCGGCCGAACCTGAAGCCAAGTTCTTGTCTTCCTGTTTACGTGACCTCCTTTCATTATGCCACCTTGTGTCGTCGAGCAGTAGAACAATGTCGTTTACAGTAAGCTCATATACAAACAGCTCCTCAAGATTTGCAAAGCGCATATGTAATCGCGCCGGTAAGCGACCACCTATAGATGATCTTTGCAGGTTGCATAAGTTCGGTCAAGTGGAGAAGAAAAAATAAGATAGAAAAAACACTTTGGGCCAGCTGCGGCTTAGAGACAGGACCTCCGGTGCTCCTGTGCTTAGGAACGAGATGATCGTTCTTGGACAGTTAATATTCCCGAACAGCTGTCCCGTCCCAGTATACGGTCATCGCCTCAGTTGACTTGCGCTGGCAAATATCGCCCGAATAGCATCGGGGCTTGCAAGAACAGTAACTATTTGCCACGAATGCGAAATTGAAAGCGCTTCACATTGGTCTTATGGAGACCTCCACATCAGCGATCGCAGGTCGTCCCGCAACTGACCGCTAAGCAGCAAAACGCAGGCCCGGCTCTGCCTGCACACGAAATGTTGGGCGATCCCGCCTCTTTATGGGTGATCCGCCCCCTCCAAGAGGACTTCGACCCCTTCCAGCGCATTTTAGAGGTAGGTTTTGAACTTAAAGACATTTCCTATAAACTTTAGTTGGGCTGGGGCATGTTTTGACCGCCTAATGACCAAGTAGTTGAAACCCTGCCTGGACTGTTGCTTTAAGCATTTGCAAAGCGTATATGTCATCGTTTGTAGTGATCCACTCCAAGAAGAGAGATTAGAATCTAATGAGTGTGGCATATGGTAACAAGATTGATCTTCAAGACTCTTCATCAGTTTCGCAACGATGACTGGGAATCTTAAATCTATCACAGATTCACTTGCTTTTATAATGTCACGATGTCTTTACGTGATAAATGGATCTACTCTAAACAAAAGGGATTTTCAACCTCTTGTGTGGACAGATACTTTTATGAGATCTGCAGCTCTTAAGAGTGCATACAGCATACATCCAGCCCATTGTTTGAATCCAAATCAAAGTACCTTCATTGTTTTCTTCACGTGCGGAACTAGAGGATTGCAAAGAGTACTGTGAACACTGCCAGAATTCGAAAAGGCAACTGAAAGAAGCGTGCACAATTATTAGCAGAAATATCAAATCAAGCGGAGAATTGTGCGAAGCAAACCTTAGAGTGCAGCCTGTAAAGCTCGAAAACTGCAAGCTCTTGGTGCGCAGAAAAAACGCGCACAGTTTAAAAGGTCGCAAACTCAAGGTGGGGTAAAGACCAACAGAAATTCCTCGGAATTCCTTATAAAGACCGAAAATTTCTCCCATCAAAAGCCTCATACTGTTATAAGGACCTCAAACGATTAGCGAAACAGTAAGAAGATTGGTCAAATTCAACTTTCTAGGTTGGAAGGTTTGGAAAAGCTTTTGTGGGGATCACGGAAGCTACGAAAGTGGGGAGGGCGATCGATGGATATCGAACTTGGTCAAACTGTGAGACGGTCAATTCAATCGTCAGCTAAGGAGGTCACGCCGCTCACGCGGCGAACAGCGTCGCGCGCGACAGTTTGTGCGGCGATTTCTGCGCGGGCCTTGGCTTGTAAACGTTACCCATTTGGATTTAATTTGACTTCTTTATCAATCAGCTGCCTGAATACCTATCAGAGAGTGATAATCTGGTTCATTCAGAAAGAATATCACATTCCAAGAGACAGCGGAATGCTCTAACATACAGTCCATATCCGACCGGTTGAGGGGGGCGGTCCCACGGACGTACCAGCGCTGCGGCCGCGACAACGCGGGGATGGAAGGTTGCCGTATCCCAGTGATTGAGTGGTGTCTGAGCAATCCGTCCTGCCGTCTGCATTCCTCCGCATGCACACTATCTTAGCAGTACGACGTAGCCTTTCCATCTGCGCTCTCGCCACTTTTCCGTCTGCGCTCTCGCCACGGTCGATCAATCGAAATTTATCAGCTGTTTTGAGCTGAATCCGGCTAATTTCGGTTAATATTCTCAACTGCGCGCTTCTTTTTCACAGGTAAGTAAGTTTTAAACATGCTAATTTGCTTCTGCATGTCTTCTGATTGATTTTATGTCCAACCATTGCCCCATTAGTAGCAATTATTCTTATTTTGTTTTTTTTTTTTTTTTCTCTTTCGATTTAACTCGTTCTTCATGATAGTGCCTGTTAAGAAGTGTTTCCGACAATAATGGAAACACATCAAAGACACCACCATGAAGAAGTTTAATTAATTAAATAAGAAAAAATAAAAAACACAAAATAAGAATAATTGCTACTAATGGGGCAATGGTTGGACATAAAATCAATCAGAAGACATGCAGAAGCAAATTAGCATGTTTAAAACTTACTTACCTGTGAAAAAGAAGCGCGCAGTTGAGAATATTAACCGAAATTAGCCGGATTCAGCTCAAAACAGCTGATAAATTTCGATTGATCGACCGTGGCGAGAGCGCAGACGGAAAAGTGGCGAGAGCGCAGATGGAAGGCTACGTCGTACTGCGGAGGAATGCAGACGGCAGGACGGATTGCTCAGACACCACTCAATCACTGGGATACGGCAACCTTCCATCCCCGCGTTGTCGCGGCCGCAGCGCTGGTACGTCCGTGGGACCGCCCCCCTCAACCGGTCGGATATGAGACGTACACCAATTTTGCAGGGTGACGCAAAAATGGCAAGGGCAAGGAACCGCATTTTAAGGTCGATGCTCCTATTCAATACTTATGGTGAAGACCTATTTCTAATCTCTAATGTTGCGCAGTAGTTTAAATGCTGATTCTAGCAACGCCGCGACATACGTGCGGTGCGTGCCGGCAACCTAGTCACTGCCACATTGTAATCGTAACGCATCCGGTAGAATTAGCTGGAAGATTCATTAGAAACAGTCGGTCACGCCCTCAGCAGACTTCCGATGAAGGTGCTTTGCATGATATAGGCACCGCAGCTTCGTAGAATTCGTACTTAGTCCAACTAAGGATCACGATCAGTGGGCTGAGAGAATGGCTTGGATCCAAAGACGATTCCGGTTCATTTGCTCTGCAATATTCGTTCATTCCGTGCGTTCAAAACAAGTGTGAGTTTCACAAGAATGCTGGGTTGTGAACAAAACTTTCGCCCCAGGCGGGACTAGAACCCGCACCTCTCGCTTTCCGGGCAAGTGCGCTACCAGTTACGCTACCGGGGCACCATTTCATTCCAACTCAGCTTTTCATGGTATACGTACCATAGCTTTCAGCACTCACACGTATAACGTGTTGAGCCGGTTAGCCGATATCGGCAATGACCGCGAGGCTGAAAGCTTTAGCAATGATTTTTGACTTGTTTTGTTAAAAAACAATGTGCTGAGTGTCTAATCCTAAGCTAGCGGTGTAAGCACAGAAAGAAAACTACACTCTAGAAATACGTAGAAGCAAATATGGAGCGATTCCATGTTATGTGACTGGTACTCAATGAAAACCTTGGAGCTTCTGCAAAATCAACGTAAGATAGACTAAATAATTACAAAGAGCCAACTCAGGCTAATGTAATACGAGATTACTCGATATAATAAGCGCTCAATAAAGGAACAAAACCACGGAAGCTATAACAAGAAAGATGGCGAGCTTGCCAACGATACCAGCAGACTTGTCCTACGATCAGTTCTGCAGACAATATCTCGACAATGAGTCATACATTCCGCTGATGTATCAAAAAGCTGGATACAAGGTGATAATTAAATTGTAATCTTTGATGAACATAAGAAAAACGCTTTTCGAAAATATTGTTTCCGATGTTCGGTGCTGAAGACTACGTAACCAGTGTGCTGAATTACCCCAACTGCCTTGGAACTAAAGCCAGACAGTTTCTTCATTCATTCAGGTGCGCGGCATTTTATTTTTTTTCCTATTTGGTAAGACAGTTAATATTTAGAGTAACAAACAGCACCAAATCTCCCAATAATTTAGTAATCATTTTTTCTGTCTACCGGATCACCATAGATGAGCGCTCGAATTGCATGCATTTAGAAAAAGAAAACTGGCAGCAACCGTGATCTCACAGGCATCACCATATTATTTTTCTGACATTTCCAGGCGTAGCAGTTTACTCCTTAAGCATCCATTACATTAGTCTCATTCTTCAATACATATAAACTGTTTACTATTCACTACAAAGGTTTTCAATGCGATAAAACCCAATAAAAATTAGTATGGCCGAACATCAGGCACCAATATATAAAGAAACCGCACTTCTGATAGTGATTTGCGAGAACGGAAAATTTAGGGACAAACCCTGAAGGAGAGGAAGATGAACGAAAAGGAAGGAGATGATAAGGTGCGAGCAATCGTTCATATGTTCGCCTCCTAGTGTCCGTCAAAGTACTTTTGATACCGATTGGGATGTATAGTGTTCTTTTTGCTAAGAGCAGATGAAGCGATTGAACACGGGTTTTGATGAAATGCGATCGTAATTTGAGCAGAGATCTGGTGAGCAATTTAGTCTAATGTTATCCACGATAAGGTTGGAGTCCGGAGAAGGGGAGGCAGGCGGGCTCCCAACCATAACTGTGGGGGTTTTGCAGCGTAGAATCTGCCTCGAAGGCTTAGCAGGACCGTACTCCCTCGAGAATCCGCATGCCGGCCGATAGTGGGTAGCACTGATGAGGCTTGCCCCTACGCGTAAATCAACGGGCCACGAAAGGGAGCCACTTCTCGGGTTCTCTGCTGTTTTTCATGGCTTTTCTTCATTCCGGCGTAACTGAGTACCTCTACCCTTATCGAAAGGTCTGCCTTTTGATCGCAATTTCCGCCTTCGAGCAGACCACTTTTTTATAACAGATGCTCTTGTAGTACAAAAAACTGGGATTCGCCCAACTGCCTGCTGTCTGTAACCCATAAACTATTCACTCGAGTCATCCTCAACAGGATCGGCAGAATACTAGATGAAGGACAGCCATGCGAGCAAGCAGGGTTTCGAAGAGGGTTCAGCACGATCGAAGTTTCACGAGAGTACAAGATGCCGCTTTGTCTCACGTTCATCGACTTGAAGAAGGCCTTCGACTCTGTGGAGACAGAAGCGGTCATCGAAGCCTTGGGCAACCAGGGCGTCCCTACTCAGTACATCAAGATTCTTCGTGAGCTCTACAGCAACTTTACGACCAGAATCTCACCATTCTACAAGGAGGTCATCATCGACGTCAAGAGAGGGGTTCGACAGGGCGACACCATCTCGCCCAAACTCTTCAGCGCCGCTCTCGAGAACGTCATGCGTCAACTGGAATGGGAAGACATGGGAGTGAAGGTCGACGGCCGGCAACTACACCACCTTCGTTGCTGACGACATCGTTCTTATAACGCCGAACATCGAGCAAGCGGAGCGAATGCTGGCTGATTTCGACTGCGCCTGTGGTAAGGTCGGTCTGCAGCTGAACCTAACGAAGACGATGTTTATGAACGGATTGGTTCCTGATGCCCCATTCACGCTCAACGGAACGAACATCACCGAATGCTCCAGCTACGTGTACCTAGGTCGGGAAATCAATATGATGAACGATCTAGCTCCAGAGCTGAGCAGGAGGAAACGAGCGGCTGGGGAGCGTACAAGAATGAGGGAGTCTCAACCTACGCCTCAGAGACTTGGACTCTGCGCAGGCAGGACGAGCATGCGGTCAGCGTTATCCAACGCGCTGTCGAGAGGACGATGCTAGGAGTAACCCTATACACGCAAGTGCAGAGGGGAATCCGGAGTTCCGAACTACGCCAACGATCGAAGATCAGGGACGCTGCCGTTTTCGCCAAGGAATCGAAGATAAGGTGGGCCGGACACGTCATGCGATTTTGCGATGACCGTTGGACCAGAGCGGTTACCGACTGGATCCCTCGGGACGTCAAACGAACACCTGGACGACCGCCGGCCCGATGGTCAGACTTCTTCACGAAAGCTCTGAACGAAAGGAATGAAGGACATCGTGTCCCTTCACTACTCGCTCGAGGGATGAAATTCTATGAAATAAAAAAATGAGCTATGAAATTTCTCATAAACTGGAAGTCTTTTCAATTCTAAGTTGGGAACATTCGAATCGCGTCCAGCAAAGTGCGATTAATTTTTTTCAAATGTGCAGGCAAAATGTCTTTCTTCATAGGATTCCTCGAAAATTGGCTGGACATGTTGGACAAGATAGAAAAATAAAAAAAAACTAATAAAATACAGGAGCATCCAAGGTGGCTAAGAAATTGTGTGTCAACCTAATATTGTCCGCTACTGGATTTTCATAACAATCTCATGTCAGACTGCTTGTAGCGAAACGCTATCTTTAACGGCTTATATTAGATGACAATTTAATTAGAGTCTTGGACAGAACGCGATCAGGGCGATGCGATCAGATAGTCACTCGACCACCTAGATCACGGGAAACAAGCTAAGTGGTTCGAGTCAGTCCGCCCATTCATCTATTCAGTGGCTCACATCTGCTCCCTTCTGCAATATTCTCGCGGTCAGGTTTCCTCCTGGTGCCACCATATTCGGATCCTCTCGCCCTCTACTCCATCGTCAATAAGTGCTATTCTTTGTATTCAGTACTCTCACTAACTAATGAGTCTATTGCATACTTCACTGCCTTAAGCAGTATTTTATACCAATATATTATCTGGAATTATTCCATCAATATATTCTGCGAACTCCTACAACATCAATACATATCAATCCTCCACAAGACCCGTTTGGCAAATAATCGGCGAATAAGCAGCAACTCTGCTTTACTATCTAATACAACAAAAGATCTCGCTTCTATCATAAATGTTCATGGTAGCAACCAATCGTCTGTGATATTGT